TGCAAGCTTTTTTGGTAGCTCATATCAGATCATGCCTACTGGAAATACCTTACATGTTTCTTAGAGTTTCCAAGGAGTTCCAAATGCCTAGCATTGCTTTCCTCTCTCTTAAAAATAGCCTAAATTCAGGGATCCTTAAAGTTTTTAACTACCTGAATCCTGACCTAAGCTTATGAGACCCCACCTGGAGTCCTGTGTCACGTTCTGGAGTCCCCAGAATAAGAAGGACATGGAGCTGTTGGAGTGAGTCCAGAGGAGAGCCATGGAGACGATCAGAGGGCTTCATCACCTCTGCTATGAAGACAGGCTGAGACAGTTGGGTTTGTTCAGCCTGGAGGAAGCTAAACAAATAATAGCTGAAACTTATAACAACCTTGCAGTACCTGAAGGGGCTACAGGAAAACTGGAGAGGGACCTTTTACAAGGGCAGGTAGTGATAGGACAAGGGGAAACTGTTTCAAGCTGAAAAAGGGTAGATTTCAATCAGTTGTAAGGAAGAAACTCTTTACTGTGAAGGCGGTAAAATACGGAAAAATGTTGCCTGGAGGAATTGTGGGTGTCTCCTCCCTGGAAATATTCAAGGCCAGGTTGTATGGGGCTTTGAACAACCTGACCTAGGAGAAAGTGTCCCTGTTACACAGGAGAGTTGGAACTAGAATCATAGAATCATCAAGGTTGGAAGGGACCTTAAGGATCATCAAGTTCCACCCCCCCTGCCATGAGCAGGGAACCCAACCACTAGATCAGGTTGCACAAAACCTCGTCCAACCTGGCCTTAAAAACCTTCAGGGATGGGGCATCAACAACCTCCCTGGGCAACCCATTCCTCACCACCCTTATAGTAAAGAATTTCTTCCTAATATCTAATCTAAATCTCCCCTCTCTCAGTTTAAAACCGATACCCCTTGTCCTGTCACTGTCTTCTCTGATGCAAAGCACCTTGCTATCTGGCTGCCATTTGTCTAAAAATTAAAGAAATTGGACTTTACCAGATTATTAAATCAGCCATGAACAGCTTCTTTGCCCTAAGTTCAGAAGTTGCCATCATACCTATACAAGGGATAGACAGATCAGCACAGTTCTGCTGTTTCAGTCCAATCCCAGAAGTGATCTACACCTTGAACACTTGGTATAGATCCAGTGTTTCCAGCTTGAAACATTACCCTACCGAAGTACTAGTATGATGGCCAGGAGAGACAAGAATCTTCACGAGGGTTTCAGAGACAGTGGCAGTCACTATTCTTTTTTAATCAGTGGCACTGAGTTGTTTCTGTAACAGTGACTCCATCTAGGAATATAATTTCTGAGATTACATCATGCTCTCCATGTTCATTGTTGCCCTACTCACTTTTCAGCAAGTGTTCTCAGTTTACAAGGGACAAGATGTTTCTTTAGACCTGTGTTCATGAGATCTGAAAGCCAAGCTTCCTCTTAGTTCAGCCACCACCACCAATAAATAGTGATAAACACTGTGCTGCTGGAATTTAGTCAACAACCCACTGATGAGTAAGCCAGAACATAATCACAATCTCCTACATCTCTGTTGATTTTGCACAGTCAAGAGTACCACAAAGCAGTAAAATTATAATTTAATCTCTGAGCAAAGAGATAACTGAGTACCCAGCTTAGCAATGAGGATGCCCTTTTACATCTGGCTACAACCAGACTTACCAATAATTGTTTTTTTCTTTGCATTTACTTTTTTTTTTACTCAGACATCTTAAACAGACCACAGAAAGCTCAGACTGGTACAGGCTTGTACCACTCACATCTGTCCTTCCTCAGGTAAGGTGTAGGAGACCATTTCAGTGTGTGAGCTCTTGTTGCTGCTCTTGCCTGTGGGTTTGGAATACCACAGGCTGACATAAAAGTTTTGTTAGGGGAGACCTTTGCTTCAGGAAAATCTGGAGTAGCATCTATATGCTATTTGCGTCACCTCAGCCACCTGTAGTTCTCCTTGTAAGAAACTGATATGTTCTTGCAAAGATTAAACAACCTAGCCTAAACCTCGGAGGTCTCCACAGCAAAAGGGCAGCAGCAGTACTCATTCACCATAGCTGAGCTTTCCTGTAGCATCTCTTGACTCTGGTTCATGCATGGAAGTAAAAAGTTGCTTTCTTTAAATCCTACCTGTCCACCTTTCTTCTCCTTTAAAAGAGAGACAGTAAAAAGGATGGACTTTCAAACCTTAGCAGCATTAGTTGCTAGTCCACCAGGCTGGTATCTGTCTTTACTTACTGGCAGTAGGAAGTCATATACAGGTGGAGTGAAGGCACACATTTTCCTCTGCAGTCCTTCTGAAAGGGTGACACAGCAGGA